ACCCTAGTCCAATAACCATTCCACTCCTTACAAGTGCATCCACCTGCACATACAAAGAGATAGAAAGCATTCTCTACATAAGCTTTTCATGCATACACGCATTCAAACAGCAGAATAAGCTAAAGTGAGACTGTGAGAGCATAAAAAGAAGAAATCTTTACACATGCCTTAGCCTCCCCAAAAATCTCAGATCTGAGATCTCAAGAGGCCCCCCAAAACCCTGAAATGTTTACCTTTTATACCCGAATCCCACACAAGCCTTGGCTAGGGTACCTTCCGCGAAACTTCGTCTTTGATTAAGGCTGGGCTGATCATCGGATTAAGCGGTTAAACCGTGAAGAACTTTGCCATGGCAGCGCACGGCATTAACGGTGGGGTTGGGCTAGGATGAAGATGACCTCCGATTGTTTCCCGTGCTTGAGTGAAACGACAACATATTTGAAGGGGCTGGATTTATGCTTCGATCCACAAATTTTGTCCACCTATCTTTTCGGTCCTCAACTTCCTTCTTAGTCACATCTGGGTCCCTGCAGGATACAACTTTCATTTTACATTTTTCTCAATTGAGTACAAAAGGCATTAATTCAATTTAATCCCGAATTTTCTTTTAACAGATTTTCTAAGTTAATTTTCCACATCGATGTTGGGAAATTGATATTATATATAGGAAAAAAATTAGAAAAGTTGAAAGCATTCATTACTCTTTTTTTCTAACAAATAACACAAGTTGAAATTTATTCAAAAAGTTAGATGTGATAATAAATCTTATGCATTCTAGAAAAGGTCATCTTTATAAATTCTTCTTATTGCATGGTGCTGACACCACGAAGAATCTATCGACACCATACCCGTGTCGGATTTCCACCCCATTTTGCCATTCCTTCAATGGGAAAATGGCAGATTTGGTCCCTCAGCTTTTATATCTCATAACTTAAGATTCATTCATTTAAATCTCAAAAGGAACTATTGTTCTGGTAATTTAGTCCCTTAATTATAAAAAAATATTTAATTAATCACAAAACTCTAATTATTATGCATTGAAATCCTTTTTTACCTAGGGAATGAAAACTTTTTACATTTTTTAATAATGATCATTTTTAGTTATATGAAGATTTTTTTTTTTTTATCTTTTTGATGAATTGATATGTTTATTAATAAAGTTATTTTTTTTCTTTTATTTAGGAAAAAATGTAGTATATGATTTCAAGTACTTCATATATTTTTGATGCTTTTTTTTTTTCTTTCAATTTCTAACTAAGTGTTTTTTTTTTTCCTAGCGCATTGTTAAAAAAGGGGAAAATTGATCTTATGTACATGGAAACATTAGTCAAAAGCATTAATTAAATAGTAGTTAATTTATTATTAATTTCTGATAGTGAGGGTATACTTACAATTGTAAAAATCATAGGTATAAGTTAATGTTATACCCATAATTATATGTGATTGAAGGTATATCTATTGTGTATACCTACAATTTTTTATATTTGTAAGTAAATCTTAAATTTATATATCCACGAATTACATACTGTAACTAATAGTTCTTTTATATACTTACACCAATTGATATTGCATAGATATAGTGTAATTTTTCCTACGGTTTTTCTGTGGATATAGCCATAACTTATCCATATACCTACAAATTATAAATCATAACTAATAGAACCCTATACCTATGAAATAATGAGCATAGGTAAAGCGTAGCTAAATGGCAAAAATGCTGTAGTGATTTAAATTAAGAAAAAATCATAAAGTTATAAATAACA